CCCCACATCCAGGCCGGTTCCCGCTCTCTGGCTGCGCAAGGCGCGGGAGCACCACCGAGGGTTGCCATCCTGTTGCCGGTCCCCGGTCCGGTACGGGGGCAACACTGAGGGTTGCGATCCGTTGCCGGACACGGAAAAAGACAAAAGACAAAAAAAAAAAAAAAAGAAAATTGCTTTTGTAATAAGGAACAAGTTATTAGAATTTTAAAGACAAAATAATTATAAGAATATTTAATATGTGTATGGAAATTCTGACTTTATAGTCTGTTCACTTGTTTCTCCTAATTGTCTTGTGATAGTGACTGTAGTTGTATTCCAATTACATGGGAGGGCACATATAATCAATAAACCCTATAGCAAAGATTCTAATCTATGTTTTGACCAACTTTGGTGGCTTTTATAGTGGCTATTCAATTCAGACTTCAATAAAATGTATTAATATTATTTTTACAGTTTTCTAGAGGGAAAGAGAATATATCTATAGATCCATCCTTCAGCAGGACTAATATTATCATTCCCCTTAAAGAACTTAAAGTTTCTAATTAAAATACCATACACAGTCTTAAAAAGCAAAAGACATTTTGTAAAAGAGAAAATTAAAACACGAGGCATTAAAATAATTAAAATACCTCAACACAGATGTGATGCATTCCTCCAGCCTTGTTTTTCTGCAGAAAACCTGCAACTGGACTGTCATTTCCCAATGGATGAAGCAATTCTATCTTGGTATTTCCCAGGTTGACGAAAACAACAGATACTCCATGTTCTGGAAGAGGGACCGCCTCACTTACCTGGGCCCCCAGAATATTCTTATAAAATGCCATGGCCTTTTCCAAATCGGGCACTGCTATGGCTATATGATTGAGTCGGCCCAGGTTCCATACAGGACCTGCCACCTGATGCGAGGACTGTGATGTGGAAAAAGCCCTTACTGTTGGAACTGGAGTTTGGAGTCTGGAAAAAAGCCCTGTAAAAATGGAACAGCCATTGATATCCTCCTTTTGAGAATTAATGCACTTCTAAATTTTATTTTAAAAACTAAACAAATAATACATATAAAAATTCATTATTTATATACCTATTCTTTTTAATTATAACATTAGATCACAGGAGATAAATGGAAAACTTATATCAAAATTACCCCCTCTGTTCTGCCCATCTAAATAACTGTCTGGAATTAAAAAGCAAATTCTGAGCTTCAACTAGATTCAGAACAAAGCATCACATTTTTCAGAACAACATATTTACTGGTAACACAAAGGCTAGCTGCATATTAAGAATTACTTGCTTTTCTCTGCATTTCACAAGGGGTAAGTTTGAATGTAATAATTAAACAACATACATTTAATGATAAGAGCAAGCAATTCTCTTCCCTACCTATACCCATTTTTTTAACCTTATATTTTGTAATAAATTCATTAATGGCATAACCATAAGTACTTTTTTTTTTTTTTTTTTCCTTTTTGAGACCTGCCGCACTGCACTCAGCCAGTGAGCACTGTGAGCTCACCGGTCATCCCTTATATAGGATCCGAACCCGCAGCGGGAGCGCTACTGCGCTCCCAGCACTGCACTCTCCCGAGTGCGCCACGGGCTCGGCCCCCATAAGTACTTTTTAGTGTGTACTTTATTTGAATGATTATTAACTAAGGAAAATATCTAATGGAAGGGGAAACAAGTAAAGATACAAAGGGTATTTAACTTATGAGGATTTCCTCTGAGGGCAGATTTTTTTTTGTTTCTTTTTATAACTTCGAAGGATTAGAAGTAGAATTGCTTCTGAAAGTGAAGAAAGCCCCTTTCACTCAGTAACAGAAGAGAGCTGCAAGGTGTTCTCCTCACGTGTTACTCTGCTTCCCCATTGCCCCAAACACTGAGCCTTAAGAACTAGATTCCCCACAGAATGAAAATTCTATGCATGTATGAGGTCTGAATATAATCTTGTACAACTACATCACTTAATTAAAAAAAGTATGAAATAGCAAAATGAAGAACACATTTTAAACAATAGGTTAGTTAGCTCTTAATGAAAACCACTTTAAACAAACAGTACCTAGTATCACAGAGCTTCAGCTAACAAAAAATAATTACCCTTAACTAAAATTTTTTATAACGATGAAATTAAAGCAACACTATTTTATTTTATTTACATTAAGAACATAAACCTGATGCATCATAAATCAGTAGAAGGCAACATTCAGCCTAAGATGGTCTTCTGCTATGCCCCAGTCTATACCATTGATTACTGAAATACCAAACATTCTCATCACCACTATGTTAGTAGGCTGGGCTCTACGGACTCATCACGTTATCATCAAATCCAAGCATATTTCAACCCAGTACACACATCCAGAAATATAATTAAAATTACTTTCCATAAAAATAATACCTAATCCTTGAGAGGTGATGTGCTCTGATATTTTCTATTCTATTGTATTTTATTTCAGTTTTTTAAAAATACTGGTATGAGGGGTCTTCAAAAAGTTCAAGGAAAATGTGTATTGTGAGGGCCGGCCCGGTGGCGCACTGCTACAGTGCGCCGCTTGGGAGCACGGTGGCGCTCCCGCCGAGGGTTCGGATCCCACATACAGACCGGTTCCCGCTCACTGGCTGAGCGAGGTGTGGGCGCAGCACCGAGGGTTGCGATCCCGTTGCCGGTCCCGGTCCGGTACGGGCGCGACACTGAGGGTTGCGATCCGTTGCCGGACATGAAAAAAGACAAAAAGGAAAAAAAATGTGTATTGTGAAAAAATAATGCACGATTTCAAAAATTTTTTGCACCACAATAAACTTGTACTAATTTGTTATAACATGTCTGAACAGGATCTAGTTTGAGGCACAAAGAAGGTTCAGACATCAGTTTGAAAAAAGCCCCTGTCAGAGCAACATGAACTCTACTAAAATTGAAGCAAGAACAAACATCAGATTGATGGTGAAGCTTGGGTGATAAAATGGTGACATCATTGCTGCTTTGTGAAAAGTTTATGGGGACAGTGCCCCAAAGAAATCAGCAGCATACAAATGGATAACTCATTTTGAGATGGTACAAAACAATGTTGAAGATGAAGCCCACCACAGCAGCAGACCATTCACATAAATTTGTGAGGAAAAAATCAATCTTGTTTGTACCCTAATTGAAGAGGACCAATGATTAACAGCAGAAACACCATCACAGACATCTCAATTGGTTCAGCTTACACAATTCTGACAGACAAATTACAGTTGAGCAAACTTTCTGCTCAAAACTACCAAAACTGTTACACCCAGATCAGTTGCAGACAAGAGCAAAGCTTCAGACGGAAATTTTAAACAAGTAGGATCAAGATCCTGAAGCATGTCTTCAGAAAATTCTATCAGGAGATGAAACACAGCTTTACCAGCACAATTCTGTAGACAAAGCACAATCAAAGCCATGGATACCAAGAGGTGGAAGTGGTCCAGTCAAAGCAAAAGTGGACCAGTCAAGAGCAAAGGTCATGACAATGGTCTTTTGGGATGCTCAAGGCATTTTGCTTGTCGACTTTCTGGACAGCCACAGAATGACATCATCTGCCTATTAGGAGAGTGTTTGGAGAAAGCAAGCCAAAGCTTTAGCAGAAAACTGCCTGGGAAGGCTTCACCAGAGAGTCCTTCCCCACCACAACAATGTTCAAGCTCATTTCTCTCATCAAACAAGGGCAGTTTTGCTAGAGTTTTAATGGAAAATCATCAGACATCCACCTTACAGTCCTGATTCGGTTCCTTTTTTTTTTCTTCCAAATTTTATTTTATTTTGTCAATATACAATGTGGTTGATTATTGTGGCCAATTACCAAAACCTCCCTCCCACCTCCCTCTCCCTCCTAACAATGTCCTTTCTGTTTGCTTCTCATAACAACTTCAAGGATTTGTAAAGAGAACCCATTTTTCTTCTGTTAATAATGCAAAAGACTGCACTGACATGGTTAAATTTCCATGGGGGGGTGGACTAAGTGCCTGGTATCATCACTTACAAAAGTGTCTTGAATTCGATGGAGCTTATGTTGAGAAATCAAGTTTATATTTTTTATTTTTATCTTTTAATTCCATTTTTCCACAAACTTTTTGAAGTCCCCTCATACTACCCACTAATCTAATTTGCTGGTTTGTTGTGTAGATAGTTGGTGCAAAAATGTAACATAGTGCCAGACATATACAGTAGGTACACGCTTTCTTCCTAACTTGGCACTTTCTTACTAACTTCCTAACTTTCTTCCTAATCGCAGATTAAGGGAAATACTCGTCCTCTCACGAAGGAAAGAAGAGAAGAAAAAGACCAAAAGAGGAGCAAGTGGGACTGAGTTTCTGTCATCACTGATTCTATCCAGCCACTTAAAAAAGAAAAAAAAAATGTGGAGAGAACACAAGGAACCTTCCAAATCTATCTGCTTTTACCTTTCCTGTTTATGTACAAGGTGATAAATATATTATGGCACGTGGAAAAAACACTCCTTTTTTTTTCGTCTTTTTTCTTTGTCTTTTGTCTTTTTTCCGTGTCCGGCAACGGATCGCAACCCTCAGTGTTGCCCCCGTACCGGACCGGGGACCGGCAACGGGATTGCAACCCTCGGTGTTGCTCCCGCGCCTCGCTCAGCCAGTGAGCGGGAACCGGTCTGTATGTGGGATCCGAACCCTCGGGCGGGAGCGCCGCCGCGCTTCCCAAGCGGCGCACTATCCAGTGCGCCACCGGGCCGGCCCTACTCCTTTTGTTTTCTTTACATCACTGACCTTCAAGCATTCCCATCAGGGTACTGTCACGCTTGGAGTCCAACTTAAGTTTTTTACAGGACTTGCCCTCCTTTCTAGTTTCTCCCCCGTCTCTTACAGTCCGCGGTGAAGTAACACGCACCGTCCCTCTGCCACTGCCTGCATTTGCTTCTATCCCAGCCTTGCTTGTCCCCATGGGCAGCTTCCCTCGCCTTTCTGGCCCGCATTGGTAAGGGGCAACACCAACTGCCCGTAGCTCCCATGGTGACAGTGAGGCTCCCAGGCAATAAAGAAATCCCCGTGCTAAACTGAGGCGTTACTGGCAGGTGCCTTCTGCCTAAAGTGCTGACAGCGGCCGCGAAACGCGCCTCGGAGGAGCAGAGCGCATTAGACCCAATTGCCTTGGCCACCCAAGGCCTCCTGAGCCTCCTGGCCTCCCTTGCCGCGCGCCCCGCCCCACGGCGATCCCCACGGCGCCCGCTACTCACCTACGGCGCTCGCAGCCGCCGCCGCCGCCATCCTCAGCACGCGCGCCATCTTGGGAAGCGACCCGCTAGATCCCGACGCACCGCGGACCAGGAGCGGGAGCGGCCGAGGGGCGGGGCAAGCTGGCCAGGGGACGTGTTTACGTTCCCGCAGGGGCTGAAAGTTGTCTTTCTTCTGTTACGATACAACGTTGTTGAAGCCACCTACTGCATCTAAAGCAGAAACTTAAAGCCAGGGCGCGTTATGGGCCCCCCAGGGATACAAAACAGAAAGTTCGGAAAAAGTTTGAAGTCTCTTGGGGTACCCATGGCTGATTTCGATTTCCCGCCCCTCCCCCTCCCGCGCTGCCATTGGCTCTGGCAAGGGGTGGGTGCGGAACCTGGGCGCCTCGGAACCTTCGGCTCATAGCTCTGGGTTGCACGAGGCGCGTCTTTACGGCGCGGTTTCCGGGCTGCCTTCTCTGTTCTCTGCATGCGACGTTGTATGTGCAGTTGGAGACAGCGATGGCCCCGCGGTTTTGGCGTCGGCGGACCCTGGAGCGGTGTTTGAAGGAGGTCGGTAAGGCTACCGGTCGGCCCGAGTGCTTCCTCACGTAAGTGCGCAGAGCCAGAGCAAGAAAGTGCGGCGCGGGTCTCTCTTGGGCGCAGGTTTTAGGCCCCCGGCAAATCCCGGAGCTGGGTGAAGGTAGGGGGAAGTGTAGATCACTTTTCTCCAAATTGTCCACAGTTTATGCTCCACTAGACTATCAAAGTCTTAAAAATTGTTAAAATCTATACAGCGCGGATCTCTCAGTTGCGTGCTGTTGACTCAAACTAAGCTCAATTATTAACACCCAGAGGCCTCCCTTCAAGGTTACGCCGCCCCATTCCTTTACACACACACGCCGTTGGTTGCTATTTCCTCCCATGTGCCCCCAAAGCACCCAGTGCTTACCTATCATAATACTTCATTGAAAGTATGAACTTGTTGCTTACCTGGCTACCTCGACTGTACTTATTGAGAGTTAGGACTGTCTCATCTTTCTTTCCAACACAAGCATTTTGAAGGTATTTTGTTGAAGAACTTCAAATATGATCTATGAAATTATGACTCAGGTTTATATTTCAAACCCCGACCTCTCCCTTGAGCTCCAGGCTCACGCGACGACAGCTGAGTTTTATTTCAGTAGCACACAGCTGAGAGGTCTGCACTGTACAGCTTTTAACAATCTTTAAAATTTTGATACTCAGCATCTCAAATTCACTGTGTCCAAAATAGAACTGTTATTTCTATTTACCCAGTTAAACTCTGCCCTCCCCTGAAGTCAACTCCCCATGCTCCACCACCCGAGACTTACCTATTTCACCAGTGGCACTTCTGTCTTTCCAGTTGCTCAAACATACAACTAGGCTGCTTTCTTAATGTCTTCATTTTTCTCTATCCTACGTCTAATTCCTTAGCAATTCTGTCAGTTCTAGCTCCAAACTATATTCTGAATCTGCTACTACTCGCCATATTCACTGCTCTAACTCCAGCATAAATCTCCATCATCCTTTGCTTGGAATGCTGTATCAGCCTTCTAATACTCTAACTTCATTCTTTTTTCCTCTATAGGACATCTTTCCAAAGTGTAAATCATTATTTCATTCCTCTGCGAAAACCTTCTGATGTCTTCTCATTACACTTAAAATGGCTGTCTTTGAGCCCAGCACAATTTGGCTCCCAAAAGCTTCTCCAACCTCCCCTTCTGCCTCCTTCGCCACACTGCAGCCGTGCTGGCCTTTCTGTTCCTCAGGCTAACTTCCGTCTTAGGGAATTTGTTCTTGCTGTTTCTTCTGCCCAGAATACATGTTTCCAGATCTTTGTAAGACTGTCTCCTTATCTGTAGGTCTCATCTCACATACCACATCTTCAGAGATCTTACTTGACTAGCCAAAGCGAGTATTGACCATTGACTGACTGAATGAACAGAGTGGTACATAATGTAGCAGAGTTAAGAATTTAAGGCTGACTTGCTATATATCTCTGGGCAAATATATCTTTAATGGTTTTTCTGCCTAACATCTATACAGCGGATTCATTCAAATTTGATTTTGCATAAAAGTTGGGCTTTTTGTTTTTCTTTTAATTCAAGGTGTTGTGACATTATTACCTATAATTCTAAATCTCGTGTAATTCCATCCCCCCAATAGGATTCAAGAGAGATTGGCATCAAACTTCACTTCTTTAACAAAAATACTTTATGACTTTAATAAAATATTAGAGAATGGTAGGATCCATGGGAGTCCTTTACAAAAACTTATGATAGATAATTTTGATGATGAACAGATTTGGCAACAACTGGAATTGCAGAATGAACCAGTTTTACAATACTTCCAGAATGCAGTTAGTGAAACAATTAAAGACAAAGACATCAGTCTTCTCCCAGAGAGTGAAGAACAGGAGGGTGAAGAGGATAGCTCAGAGATCGAGACTGATGGCCAAGAGGATCTAGAACAAGATTTGGAGGAGGAGGAGAGGGAAGTATCAGACATGGATGACGATGGTCCTAAAGGAGGTGAGAGAGCTAAAAACTCAAGCAAATTTGATCTGAGGAAAAGGCCGGTCTTCAGTGATGAGGATTCTGACCGTGACTTTGATATCAGCAAGTTGGAACAGCAGAGCAAGGTGCAAAACAAAGTGCCTGGGAAACCAAGAGAAAAGTCCATAGTAGATGATAAATTCTTCAAACTATCTGAAATGGAGACCTTTTTAGAAAACATAGAAAAAGAAGAGGAAAAAAAAGATGATAATGAAGAGGAAGATTTTGATTATTTTGAAGATATTGATTCTGATGAAGATGAGGGAGAGCTGTTTGGAAGTCAAAAACTTAAGGTAAAGTTTTGAGAGAGCAGAGGAGAGTTATTCCTTAATAACTGAATGACTTCAGAAGTTCCGAATATTTGGTTGCATTAGATATACAAAAGAACTTTATTACTGGAAAATATGTTTTTGTTTTCCTAATGAAAAGTGCTGTATTTCCTTGTATAAGTGTTTTCATATTATGGGGATGAAGATAATGACCTTGAAGAAAGTGAAGACAGTAAACAAACTTTCTTCCTCCTCAAATTAGGTTTTGTTCTGTTTCTCTGGGAGAGATTTAAAGCACCTCAAAATTCACCAGGGTATAAGTGAAATATTTAGATCAGTTGAAAAAAATTCACTGGAAAAATTAAACCAAAGCCATCATTTCCTTATCACAAAACACTTCTCTTGTTAAGTAGCTTAAGAACCATAATCACACATGTTAGAGATATTCGGAATTTTCCCTCAAACATATATTTTCACCCAGCGCTAAAAATAATTATGAAAGGAAGGCATTTATATACTTTATGTAGACAGGGATATATTAGAAATATGCATGTAGTCCAAAAAGTTCATGGAAAGATTCATATCATCTGTTAATTCTGTATTTCCATGAACTTTTTAAAGTACCCTTGTAATTATAGTTGGAAAATTTAGAGATATGGAATATTGTGCCCTAACAAATCAGTTATAAATGAATCTGTACTTCTATTCAGTTATGATGTTCCAGTTCTTACTGTTTTATGATAGTGCTGTTGGTTGCCTACTTCCCCTAGTAACTATTTTTGGCTTATAGTGTTAAAGCTAGAAAGCAATGTATGAATACAATACACATATTCATGTATGCATGTTTTAAGATAATTTTCTATCCTTAATAAAAAGTTTTAAAGTCTTTTCATTTTAGTCAGGTAAAAGTTCCAGAAACTTGAAATACAAAGATTTCTTTGATCCAGTTGAAAGTGATAATGACATAACAAGTGTTCATGATGATGAACTGGGTTCAAACAAAGAAGAGGAAGAAATTGCTGAAGAAGACAACATTTCCGAAACGTAAGTATTTTAAACCATTCTTTACAGCTAGAATTGCCCAATCATGTGTTAGTGTTCAATTAGATTCTCTAAGATCGAATAGTAGATTCTCCAATTTCATTCTCAAGAAAGCCAGAACGTCTCTGAATTTAAAGGTCTTCTTCATTAGAGATCGTTTAATGAAGAAAAATATTACTGGCAGTCTCAAGCAAACCTTTATTGTAAGGAGTTTTTTTTGTTTGTTTGTTTGTTTTTCCTTTTTGTCTTTTTTCGTGACCAGCAACGGATCGCAACCCCTTTATTGTAAGGAGTTTTTTTTGTTTGTTTGTTTTTCCTTTTTGTCTTTTTTCGTGACCAGCAACGGATCGCAACCCTCAGTGTCGCACCCCTACCGGACCGGGACCGACAACGGGATCGCAACCCTCGGTGTTGCGCCCACACCTTGCTCAGCCAGTGAGCGG